CTGCCTCCGAAAGGATACTCCAGCTCATTAGCACTGGTTGCTTCTGGGGAGGGGCCTGGGTGGGCCGGAGACGCAGCTGGCAGGGAGACTTATGCACTGAATCTCCTTATGTACCTTCTGAAGTTTATGCCAAGGGCACGTGTTACCTAACAAGGGAAAGGGGACTGGAGAAGCGCTTGCCATTTTCTCGGCACAGATAACGAAGGCCCACCTCTGTGATACCAACCACTTTCCACGTGTACCGGGGAGCAAGACAGATTGAAAAATGTGGCTCCACTTTTATCTCTACTGTGGAGTAAGAAAATCTAATCAAGAAGTTTTTGCCTTTAGGAAAGCCAGTCTGGTCTCCCTGTTGGCACTAAATTGACGCTTTGGTAACGGCAGGAGATGCCACCTGGGCACTGGTGCTGCTGTGAGGGTGACTGAAGGTTGCCTTCCAGCTTCCCTGACGATGCATTTCCCCCAGATAAAGAAGGAATGCAGCCTGCATGCAAATCTCTCTAAATTAGACACGGCCCATCTTGACGCCGCTGAACTCAGGCCGACCGCCGTGAGCGGAGCAGCAAGCCGCAGAGGAGGAGGAAGATGAAATCCTCATTTCCCGCAGGAAGGAATTCTGGCTAACAGTGCTGAAAGGCTATTTTAGTGCCGTGTTTACATAGGAAAAGGAACACCGCCTGGCTGGGGTGCCATGTCCCGGACCCAGGTATGGACAGAAGGATGGACACGAAGGGGCTTTGTTTGAAGGGGAGAGCTTGGGAAGCCCATGAGTGGCAGACACAGAAGTCGCGTTCAGAACCACAGGGCAAATGGGGCCTTTTTTCGAGCCCAAGAAGTCCTCCTGGAGGGGTGGGGCTGCTTCGTGAGGCAGAGTCTCAGCCGTGAGCAGACGCAAGAGGTAGGACCACACCCCTCGAGCCTGAGGGTGAGCAAGATTAATAATGAGGATCTTCCCCTTGTTCTTAAAGCTCTTCTCAGCCTTGAGTGGCGGGTTGTTAAAGTGAGCTGAGTTTACTCCTCGTCCCGTCTCCTTGGTCTCCCAACCCCTGGAACCGTACACCCTTTCTGAATCCTAAGGGATTGTACCTCACATTCCCCCCAAACCCTCCCATCACAAAACTGATGGAAAACGGGACCTCATTTGAAAGTGAAGGTGTGAGTTCAAACTTGCTTTTAGTACAGGGACTTATGGGAAAAACAAACTCTCAGGAGGCAGTCTAACATAGGAAGCAGGGCAAAGTGGGGGGGGGGGGCTTCCCTGGTGGCGCAGTGGTTGGGAATCTGCCTGCCAATGCAGGGGACACAGGTTCGAGCCCTGGTCTGGGAAGATCCCACATGCCACGGAGCAACTAGGCCCGTGAGCCACAACTACTGAGCCTGCGCGTCTGGAGCCTGTGCTCCGCAACAAGAGAGGCCGCGACAGTGAGAGGCCCGTGCACCGCGATGAAGAGTGGCCCCCGCTTGCCACAACTAGAGAAAGCCCTCGCACAGAAACGAAGACCCAATACAGCAAAAATAAATAAATTAATTAATACTATATTGCTTGCAATTATATAATACTATCTTGTCTCACATTTTGAAAAAACAAAAAACAAAAAAAACAAAGTGGAGGGGACTGTAGCTGAGGGGGTCAGTGGCCTGAAGCCCTACCCACCTTCTCTTCTATGTTGGCTTCTGATGCACTTGTGGGAAGCCTGGGGCTCAGGTAGAACACAGCTGGGAAACTGCTGGACAGAACTTCTCTGGATGGATAATCAGGTGACAGCAGTTGCTTCCGGGTGGGAGATGGGAAGGGAGACTCCTCTCTGCATACCTATTGTTAAAATTTGAACTTCTGTACCATGTACAAGCATTACCTGGGTAAAAACAAAATTTAAAAAGAAAATAAAGCTGAAGGACTAATGATCTAAGTACAAACCTTAGTTCAAAAAATTTAAGATTCTGAACTTATTTATGAAACAGAAACGGACTCATAGACATAGAGAACAGACTTGTGGTTGCCGAGGGGGAGGAGGGGTGGGGGAGGGATGGGTTGGGAGTTGGGGATTAGCAGAAGCTCACTATTATATATAGGATGCATAAACAAGGTCCGACTGTATAGCACAGGGAACAATCATTTTGCTGTACACCAGAAACTAACACAACATTGTAAATCAACTATATTTCAATAAAATAAATTTAAAAAAATTTAAGATTCTATAGGTTACATTTGTTGTGAATTCATTAAATCCCATATGGACAGTAGAACAGATCGAAGTGGACTGTATCAGTCAGGGACCTGTGATTGTCTCCTGAACAGAGGCAGCTCAAGGGAGGGCAGAGCACGGGCTGTGGAGTCAGACCTCGCTTTGAATGCCGGCTCCATGCGTGCTGGTCCCAGGGCCTTGCACAAGTTACTTACTCTCTGGGACCTCTCTTTCGGCTTCAGTAAACCGGGGATAATGATGCCAGCAGGGCTGCTGTGCAGGTTAGAGAGAACGGACGTAAAGTGAGTAGCACATAGCAGGTGTTTGATACATGGTCGCTATTATAATTACAGAAAAGTGAAATTAAAAAATAACTAAATCCATATGTGACTGTAGGGCAACTCTGATTCTGTAACGGGCCCTGGAGCAGGCTCAAGATGCCTCCCTGGGGAGTGCTTACCTCATGGTAATAACAGGCACACTGTCCATCTTCCCGCCAGGCTGGACGTGAGCACCGAGAGGGTAGGGCCTGCCTCACTCACTGCTCCATCACCAGCCCAATCTGGGGTGATACAGGTGCCATCTTATAACGAGTCCCCCTGGGGGGTTGCCTGGGATGGCGAACAGTTTCTCCTGGCATGTCAACTCTGGCCAGATGGTAGTGGCCGCCTGGAGCCCTGTCCCTGGGGGCTCACTGAGCAGCCAGAGCTGCTCTGACTGAATGGTGGCCACGGGACACAGCATGCGGTGTCCCTTGCAGCTGGCCTGCTGACCCTGGCTAAACACTTCATTCTAAGTCGGTTGTCCTTCCACCCCTCACTCAACGAGGACTCTATGCTCTGTGACAGAATAAAAACACACTAAAGGACCGCTGACTTCTGTAGACGAGGAGACCAGCTTTCTCACAGTCCCTGTAAAAGGGGTGAGACTGCAATTCTGAAGCCACAGACATGTGAGGGAAGGACAAAAGAAATCACCAAATGGGTATTATTACCCCCACTCTGCAGATGAAGGAAGTGAGATTCAAGAAGGTGAAGTCACTTATCCAAACTGCCACAGCTGGTAAACAATGCAGCTGGATTTGGACGCCCTGTCTACTCTAAAGTGGTAGCTCTCACCCTGACGCTAGGAACCACCTGGGGGCTTAGGACAGTTCCAGGGCCTGGGCCTCACTGGACATTCCGATTTCATCATTCTGGGGCAGGGCTCAACACTGATATGTATTTTTAAGCCCCCTTCCAACCAGAGTGACTCGGACATGTGCCCGGGGTTCAGACCGCTGCTCTGAGGACTGTGTGCTCTGCGGGCGGCCTTGCAGTGCCAGGAAGCCCTCCCTAGGGTGCTTCTGTACGAGCCACGTACCTCGTGTTACACGCCCAGGCTTTTCGTGTCAGGGCTGGAAGCCCCAGAGAGGTCCCCAGTCCATGCCTTCCCCTTCCCAGCTGCAGATGGGCAGCCTCACCGCAACCCCCAGGGCAGCCACAGTGGCCACTTTATCACTCATCTGCTCTCAGAGCCTCAGTTTCCTCACTGGAAGGGGGAGGCCAACCACTAAGCTTCCTCAGACGCGTTCCGTGAGCACTGCTGGGAAAGGTGTTGGGTAAAGGTTAGAAGGTACAGAGAACACCAGCCCAGGAATACCAAAACTAGCTTTTATTTGTCCAAAAGTCACATCGAGCTCCGTAAAAACTGTTTCTGGGGGAGGCCCAGAGAGAGTCCCTGCTGCCCAGGGCCAGGGGCCGCTAGAAGTTCTCCAGCAAGCCCAGGATGCGCTTCTGCTCGCTGTCCCGGAACTCCGGGCTCCGGCCATCCCCGATGTTCTCTGCATACTCTGGGGAGACAAAGGCAGGGTTAGGCATGAATCTGAGGCGTGGGGTCCTTCGTGGCCGGGTCACATCATGCCTCTCCCTGAACCCCAGCTCCCGTGGGGTGTGTGCTGCTCTAATGCCTCCAGTGGCAGCCACGGTGGCAGTTGTGTGCAAACTCCTTGGTCTTGCATTCAAGGCCCATGGGGGAAAGGGCCCAACTCCCCTGTCCCTGCCCGCAGTCCCCTCCTAGCTGCAGCCTTTCTTCACTTAACACACACAGTGGATGCTATTATGGGCAGATGCTGCCCAGACCCAGTGGTTCTCAGAGCGGGAACCCCAACCAACAGCAGCAACATCACGCAGGAACTTGTTAGAAATGCAGATCTGGGGACTTCCCTGGCGGGGCAGTGGTGAGAACTTGGCACTTTCACTGCCGGGGCCTGGGTTCAATCCCTGGTCGGGGAACTAAGATTTCACAAGCTGCGTGGCGCAGCCAAAAAAAAAGAAATGTAGAGTTGGGTCCAGTCCAGACCTACTTATTAGGAAGCTCTGAGGACGGGGCCCAGCAGTCTGTGAACAAGCCCTCCAGGCAGTGCTCATGCTGCTCACATTTGAGAACCACTATCTGAGGCAACGGGGATAAAGTCCTGATCAAAACAGGACAGGTGAAAATCTCTGCACTTGTGGAGCCTACTTTCTAGTGGGGGAGACAAACCGAAAGGCAAATAAAATACATAGGGTGGCTGTCAGAAGGCCTCACAGAGATGGGGGATTTGATTAAAGACCTGAAGCAGGTGTGTGGGGGAATATCTGGGAGCGAGTGGCAGAGGGGCAAGCAGAGCAGGGGCTGAGAGGGGAGCATGCCTGGACCCTCTGCGGTGAGCAAGGAGCTCAGAGCCGGGGAGGGGCGGGGCACAGGTCGTGTCGGGCCACTGTAAGGACTTTGGACTTTCCCCTGAGATGAGAAGTTATAAGAGCGTTTTAAGCAGAGGAATGACATGATTTGACTTTAGCCAGCTCACTCTAGCTGCTGTGCGGAAGATACCCTTAAGGTGGCAAGGGCAGAAGGAAGGAGATGTGATTTGATTGGTGGTTTGGTCCAAGGAGGTCATGGTAGAGGTGAGAAGTCTTCAGATTTTAGATGTATTCTGAAGGTGGATCCAGCAGGATTTACTGAGAGACTGGAAATGGGGCGTGAGAGAAAGAGATGTGGATAGTGAAGTTGCTAAGAAATACGACAGGGTAGTGGAGAGGGTGACAGGGAGCTTGGAATTCCTCCAGGGAATAAGGGGAACAGGTGTCTGCACCACGAAGGGGGGGGCTGCGGTACAGTCCACTGACATGAGATTGAAACAAATGGGTGTTTTTTGGAAAGAGGGAGGGAGAAAGAATGGTCTAGAGACGCCCAGGAGGAGCGTGGAAGGCCCCTCCTCCGTCTCCAGTGGTAAAAGGCATGTGGGAGAAAGTAGGTACCACTTGAGAGGACCCATCCCCGGTAGAGACAGTTTTAGTTAGAGCAGGAAGATAAAGGAAATACGCCTAAAGAGGATGGGAATACAGGACATGATGCTGATGACAGAACCTAATCAAAGAGTTGTAAGGTGGGTAAACATATGGTCCCGTTTCCCCTGTTATCCCAACAGAGTACTTAACACACCTCCATTTTATTCTCAAAAGTGTCCTGGCCCCCCCAGATTATGTGGTCAGCTGGTTTTAGGAGGCGGGAAGGGGTGCGATATGGCACAGAAATGATGTGTGGAGCTTAGGGATGAGAGTGCAGGGCCTGTGTGGTGACTGGGGCCCTGGGTTTCCTGTGGTGGCTCCCAGAGCACCGTGGACGGGGACGGGGGACGGAGAGCCAAATCCTCTGTGCGCTGACCGTGCCCTGCCCCCGCCCTCAGACAGGAGATGGTGCAACACTGTGGGCTGTGTTTGTATCCTGACTCTGACTCACAATCCTAGGTGGCCTTGCGTGGTCTCCCCCTCAGCAAATGCATGTAAAGAACCTATAATAACAGATGTTCAAGATACGCTAGCTCCCTCCCTGAGCCTGCTTTGCTCAGGCCAGCAACATCTCTCTCAGAGAAACACCACACATCCTTCAAGGACACCTTCTCCGCAAAGCCCCGCCCGCTCACCTCTGACTCCTGTTCCTGTCCTCAAGCCTCTGTCTCCACCGCAGGCCTGACTTCTAGATCATCTTCTACTTGTCCCCTCTCTCCCTCTAGACTGACAGCGTCATGAAGGTAGGGGCTTCCGCCTTACTTTCAGCTAAATTCCCAGCAGAGCTTGGCTGAGAGCCAACTACCAGTCTGGTGCTGTGAATAAGCTCTCAAAGCAGTGGCTCAGGAATGAGTGCCTGCGGGTCTGCCCCCAGCTCCCTGCCTGGGGTGGCCTGAAATGGAACAATAGAAAACTCTCTTGCAAGAGGCTTCTGCATAATAAAACATCTGCTCACCCAAATCAGACAAAGAGTGGGGAAAGGGAAGAAAGCCTGCAAACCCTCCCCTACCTCCCATCCCCCACCGTGATGGAGAAATACCTTGCCCCTGCCACTTCTTCATTTTTCCTCCATCCTCTTTATTACTTTGGACATGTGCCGGAAAACGGGACTTGGGATTCAGACATGTGCCAGCTGTGTGTCTCCCCCTGGAAATCATCCTCTTCTGTTAGGCCCATCCATCACCTCCAACAGCAAATGGCTGTGATCCCTTCTATTAAGTCTCCTTAAAGGGAGGGCTGGGGTGATGGGAGAACAGAAACTGGGCTGCGGGAGAAGGCTAGGGGCTGTATGTAAGTGGTATCTCTTACTCACATGTGAATGATCTAGCCGCTGCCCCAGGAGAGACAGAAATGACCATTATAGCATTTAATACCCTCAGAGGCATGGTCTGAAAGCAAGAGTCTTAATGGACTGAACTAACACTTTGTTCCAATGTATTCTCAGACCCAGGAGAGAGGGAAGTGGAGAAACAGTCTGATCCTTTGGGGCAGTGATTTTTTTCCAAGTAAAGCCAACTTCCCTGGAGGGACCTAATCTCTTTCTAGGGATGCGCAGAATAGAGGCCCAAAGTTTGTATCAATCCCCTGCTGAATCACCCCTCCAAAGGCCTTAGAAAAACACATGCCACCGCTGTACACAGAGCACTCACCCAATGGACAAGTCTCCTCTGTTGCTCCACATGTGGGGAAGGAGGAAACAGTCAGATTACCTGCTCTCTGGAGATGGGCTGTGAAGGAAGTTAGTAGGATCTGGAAGAGGGGCTATCCTGTACAGAGTGGAATGGGACCTCACATGTGGTGAACACTGTTTACGTGCCAGACATTTATCTATATTGTCTCATATAATCTTTGCAGCAATCCTATAAGGCAAAGAGCACCACCTCTGTTTAGAGATGAGGAAACTGAGGCATATTAGAGAACTGAAGCAACCTGCCCAAGTCTAGGATGGTAGAGGAACTGATATTCAAACCAAGAACATGTGTCAGAAGTGAAAAAGGCACGTCAAAAGCCATGGGGGTGGGGCTGGGGAGCCGGTCCCCAAAGTGGCATCCTCTTACCTAGGCAGTTATCTTACCCTGCCTGTTCCCCATCCTTTGGGGAAAAAATCTCCAAAGCAGCCCAGCCGTGGCAGGGCGTCTGGCTACAACGTCCTCACAAAAGGTAAGGCTCTTCAGCGCTTTGTGACCACCTAGAGGGGTGGGATAGGGAGGGTGAGAGGGAGATGCAAGAGGGAGGAGATATGCGGATATATGTATATGTATAGATGATTCATTTTGTTATAAAGCAGAAACTAACACACCACTGTAAAGCAATTATACTCCAAGAAAGATGTTAAAAAAAAAAAAAAGGTAAGGCTCTGGAGGGAATGTCCTGGAGTAAAGGGGCCTCAGCAGCCAGAACAGATGTGGAGTGGGCTGCTGGGGCCATGCTCCTTCATGCCAGGTCACTGAGTGTCAGGGCTGGCAGGCCTCTCAGAAATGTACTGCAACTGGATGGACAGGTGACCGGCCAGGGTCCCGCAGCAAGCCAGCCACAGGGCCAGGCCCACCGGGTCTGACAAGCCCCGGGTGCTCTCCCACTGGCCGTGGCAGCTGCTACCAACTGTGTACCTCACCTCTCACCCTCTACCCCCTACCCGAACTCATTCTTTGTTTCCAGAGTAGAATCCTATTTGGAGCAGACCTTGGTGGTGCCAGCTTCCTCTGGTTATTAAAGCTGCTGCAGCAGTTTATAAATATTGAACAGATTCCTCCCAGAGGTCTCGGGAAAGAGTCCTCTTTGCTCTGTGCGCACGCGCGCGCACGTGTGTGTGTGTGTGTGTGTGTGTGTGTGTGTGTGTGTAAGAAAGGGAGAGAATGCAGTAAAAAGAGAGACGCTAGATGAAGGGAGAACTTCAGGGTAGGGGAGAGGGAGAGGGGAGACAGGAAGAGCGTGAGTCGGGTTGGAGAGTGAGAAAGACGGTGTACACATAGACTCCCTTCTCGACTTCCCCAGCATTTTCAAATGCTCTTACAATAAAAGCTTTGATGGAGATCAAAAACAGGCAGCAGTGCTGAACGCATAAATATTAAAGCAAACTTTAGACAGCAGGTTTACTATTCAGACATGGAATACAAGCTGTTCTGTTTTTGGTAAGAGGAAGAGGGAGGGACACCCGGGCTGGCGGATGGGGAAGGACTGTCTTTGAGGACGGAGACTGGGACCAGCGCTCACAAGCCTGGTTCAGATCCCTGGACCTTAAGCCTTAAACACTCACCCTTGAAAAAGTGCAGGAGGAAGGGCGAGTGGGGAGAAGAGGAACGCCAATATTTTTACACCGAAAACCTTGAAGACATAGAAATAATCACAAAATAGAAACTGGGAAAGTAAAATCCTTGAGGTCTAACAGAGAGTCCTTAACGACAAGGATGCGTGTGGAGGGACTAATGTCACTTCTCTAGGAGGAGGATGTTGTGCTGGGGCTGCAACTGGGGATATAAGCTTCATCAGGGATCTGATTAAAATGAAACCTACTTAAAGGAGGAGGAGAAGGAAACTTACCCTTTGCTTACAGCGCTAACAGGGTCACATCCCTATAGACCATTTTCCCACAGACCTTTCAGCTGCTTGAAAAAGCACCACCTACCCCTTCCACCCCCACCAGGCCCTGAGGAGTATGGCCTGGGTGCTGGTCCATGGGCTTTCCTGCCAGCACTGGTGAAAGGATTAGGCCAAGGAAGGGAAGGAAGGAACCTGCATTTACTGAGCAAGTATTCTGTCCCAGGCCCCCAACTGCATCTCAACCTCAGCCTTCCTTGGGGCAGTATTCACTTTCGGTTTGTTTCTTACAGAGGAGTAAAGGAAGGCTCAAACCGGTTATCTACTAACTTACCCCAAGTTACAGAGAGCCAGAATTCTTGCTGGCCTGTGCCTCTCAGCTCTGCTTATTCCTGCGTGAGCTGGGATGTGAATCACAACGGTGACGGTAGCTACCATTATCAGGCACTTATTACGTGCCAACATGTAGGCACTTTACCTGCAGCACCTCATCTCATTCCCACAGCAACCTTTTGAGGCAGATTACCCTCATCTTATAGACACTGTGGCTTAGGGAGAGGGCAAGTAGCTGCCTAAGGTTAAACAGCCCCTCCGGGGTCCTTTCCTGCCTCCCAACCCTAGAGGCCATAGCAGCCACGGCCTGGTGCAAGTCACACACATCAACGTGTCACCGGAAGAGAAACCCTATCAGCTTCTGCAGCTTTCAAATCACAGAGGCAAAGCTCAGGTTACCAAGAGCTGAACTCAATATGGAAATACGTGTTTATGAGCTTCTGAGAGAAGACTTCAAGCCATAAAGAACACAAGCAAATCAAAGGGCCGGGAGCCAATCTCTGAAAGCATTCTGAAGTCTTTGGCTCAGTCTTTTCACCACCAGTGACAAGAGTTTTGAGTCAGTAATCCTCTAAGCTTTCCTCTGCCAAACAGCCCAGCACCACCTGATCTTCCAACAACTTTCACCAGTGACTAAAACATCCAGGAGACTCACCAGAGGCTTCCAGGCTAACCCCTGGCACAAGTATTTATACGAAGTATTCCCAGGTCACAGTGCCTACTCCATATCCAAGGACAGGACCACTCAGTGCACATCTGCATCTGCACATGGAGGTCCTTCACGGGCTTCAGGAAGCCATCTCCTTACTTACAGTCATCAACCTCCCAGGAACGGAATATACAAGGGTGGCTGCCAGGGGCTGGGGGAGGAGGGAATGGGGAGTAAGTGTTTCATGGGTACAGAGTTTCAGTTTTGCAAGATGAAAATAAGTTCTACGGACAGGGGGTGGTGACAGCTGCAATGGTTAAAATGGTGACTCCTATGCATATTTTAGCACAATTAAAAAAAAAACACCCCGAGCACCTCCTCCTCTGTGCAGCCTCTCTGGATCTTCAAGCTCCTTTTTAATCTCCAGCAGAATTAACTGTGCTTTCTTGAGTCTCACTCCATACCTTAGCACTGACTTCAATCTGCTTTGTGTTGTGCTTATTTATCTCACCTGTGATGGCACTGAATTGCCCTGGGGACAGGGCCTCCTAAGTGTCTCACTCATCTAAGGAGCCCACCTAGTGCCCTGTGATGCCAGTGGGTACTCTGTAAAGGTGGATGCCCTGAATTTTCTTTCTTAAAATGCAGTAGGAGTGTATCAGCCAATTGGTACAGTTAGAGCTCTCCTTTCTGCCAGATGGAAGACCGACTGAGTCTGGATCCAGTTTCCAGCATTAATAGTGACTTGGGTAACATCCCTTAACCTTAACCACAAGTCTTGGTTACCTTATCTGCAAAATGGAGACTGTAATCCTGCTTTTAGGACCATCGTGAGAACCAGAGAACATACATTAAAAGCCTGGCACAGAGGACGTGCTCAGGAGAGACCACTCTACCTACTGGTCCCGGATTTCTGGAACAGCACAAAGAAGCCTGAAGCACCACCTCAGCAGTACCCTCAATAAGCATTAGCTGAGCCCCTTCTCTGCGCCAGGCGTGGGCCAGGCACCAGAAGGTAAAAGCCAGGACGACTGTCACTGCCCTTTCAGAGCGCGTGGTCCTTCTCTGGCACAGAGACCACCGTCCCCTAGGCGGGCACCAGAGGCCTTAGGCCAGAGCTGCTGCGAGTTCAGGGAAAGCTGGACTTTGGGAGCACTGAGTAAGCAGTCTGCAAACCAAGGGACTTTAGTGAGCCATCAATTTTCCCCAGCTCTCTTGGCACCCCCAACAGAAAAGGAGGGAGGAAGATCGTGAGAAAGGGGACTGAAATATAACGGGAAGAGTCCCCTGCTGGGCTTGCCTCATCAGCGTTTTCCTGAGACCTCAAGGGATACATCAGCTGTCATCCTGCCAGCAAAACTTAGGAAATATATAGGACATAAAATCAAAGAAAGAAGCTTGCATCTAATTAGCACGTTAAAAAAAAAAAAAAGGAAGCAACCCAAACTGAAAAACAAAATTAAAATCAAAGAGGACAGACTGATGAGCTGGCTTTCTTTGTGAGGCTTTGTTTTTTCGTGCATTGTGATGGAATGAAGGGTGGAGGCAGGAGGGGGAGGGCGTGAAGGCTTTTAAGAGGTGGGCCTGAACAGAGACCAGACGCCACCCCTATCCAGCCCTGCGGTAGCCTCACCCCTTTGCAACCCCAGCACTGCTCGGAGCTTGCTCATTGCACCACTTTCAGGGGCTGCTGAGAGGCAGCCTGTGGCACAGCTCCACCGCCCAACACCGCAGGCAGATGGGCTTCCTGGGGCCAGCGAGAGCCCTTTATTATAACCTTAACCTTCCATCTGGAGAGAACACTTTCTCTTGTTTGTTTTCAGTGGTCAGCGTCCTGTGAGGACTTCTTTGACCTGGGCAATGACATCTAATCTCCTGGCTTTAAATATCACCTCCATACTACTGACTTCAAATTGTCCAAACAAGCACCTCTCCCGCCCCAATGAGAATGTCTACTCTCTGCTGGCCAACAAAGGGATGCAGGTGCTACCCGTAACCCAAACTCACTGTGTACCCAACAGAACTCGAGAGACTTGCCCAGCAATACTCCCAACCCCACCCAATGCTCCAGCCTCCCTCACCCCCGCTTGGCCTCCACTGATGTGGCAGAGTCCATATGAAGGCCACTGATGTCCTGTGTTGGACGTTTGCTCCTTCTGCCTGGGACGTGCCTTTCCCTCTGGGACACCATTCCAAGTCCTGGGACCAGCCTCTCCTCCCCTGGGATTCCTTGGTATGGCCTGTGCCTCCATTACTGCCCCCTTATCACTCCCTTAACGCTGTTCACAACTTTAACACAGCACCTAGCACATCATAGTTAGTTTCGAGTATCTCTCCCAGCTAGACCATGAACCCTCAAGAATAGGGATCTTGCTTATTTATTCTTCCTTGTATCTCTAGTACTGGATACAGAGCTTGGCACCCAGCAATGCCAGCTGAGTAGTTGTTGGAGTGTGTATTTCACTTAGCTTGATTATGGTTGGTCATTTCTACATCTATGTTCCCCAGAAGACCATAAGCTCCATGAGGGCAGGTGCTGTGTGACACCTTAGTAGCACAGTATTAGCACTGTGCCGAGCCCTGAGGAGAGTCACAGTAAACGTTTGCCAATTTAAATTCATGCAAGGGTAGGGTTTAATTCAACAATGTTTAAAATATTCACCGGGTGTCCATTATGTGCCTGGCATTGCTCTAGGTGCTGAGGAGACACGGAGAACGAGCCAATGTCCTTACGTCACGGAGCTTACATTTTAATGTATGAGACACACAAACCAAGGAAACAAAGACATAAATAAAAGTAATTACAGACTGTGATAAGGGCTAGGAAGGAAATAAACTGGGTGCTATGATGGGAAATAACACATGGAGAGAAGTGGATTGATTCAGGATGGAGACTGGAGGCAGACGTGGCAGCTTTACTAATGGATTGGCTGTGAAGGGTGATGGCGAGAGAGCTGAAGGGCCGGACCTGGGTCTGGAAGGAGGGATCTGAGAGTCTGGACAGAGCGGGAAAAGAAAGCAACAGGGGAGAGGAACAAGAGTGGTGGGAATGAACACAGCATCTGTGCAGGCTGCTCACCTGCTCACCTGCCCAGACAATCAACAAATGTCTATTCAGCACCCAGTATGCACCCAGTGCTTTAACAGGCACTTGGGGAATAAACTGGGATCTGAGGGAGACAGAGGCTGGCTCACAGCAACTGGAAATCCTGAATAACCTCAGGTATATGTGTTAGGATCTCTGAAAGAAAAGCATCCACCTACTACGTGTCAGCACCTGTTAAAAACACTTTTCCTTTCTCAGATCACTGTTTTGATCACAGGAATGGAGGTGCAGGGAGAAGCCTAAATGCAGGAGAGTAGAGCTGAGAGTAATAAAAAGTTCTAATTGAACATGTGGGCGTTGAAAGTAAATGCCATTTAAAGGCTGGGGTTGCAAATCACCACAGCTGCACATTAGGGAGGAGGTGGCATGACACCCTGAGCAGTAACTCATGCGAATGTGACACTGAGAAAGAGGGAGCACCCATGGTGCCACTGTGGAAGATGCTAGGCCAGGCTCATGAACAAGTTCCCCCTTTCCTCTTTCTGAGGGAGAAGACAATAAATTCCAATGCCTTGAAGGCTCCATCTACAAAATGGGCACGACGGATTTACCATCCCCACCCTCCTGGGAGGGCTGTGCTGATCATGTGATTTCCAGTCCTATGTTTTCACTCACACTGTTCCTTTGTTTTGGAATGTCTAAGACCCAGCTCAATGTTACTATTCCCACAAGGCTTCCCATGGGGTTTTAGCCGTGCCTCACTTATAATGCTGCTAATGATAATCATCATCATAATAGTTCATAATACTCATAATAGTTCACATTTGCCAAGAACTTATTAACTTGAGATATTTTCCATATATCATCTCATTTAATCCTTTTACCTAATCTATGAGGTCCCAGAGCAGTTGGATACCTTGCCCAAGGTATCACAGTAAACAGCAGAGCCAGGATTCTGTTTCAGGAGCCAGATCCCAGAGCCCATGGCTCTTAACTTCTCTTCACTTTATTGTATGTATCATTTATCTCCACATTTCATCTCCCACATGTAACAGGAGTTATAAGCCACTTACAGGCAAACCCTCTGAGTAAATCTAGCCTAATCTCTCATCTTAGAAGTGGGCAGGACAAGGGTCAGAGAGAGAGAGATGATGTGCCTGCAGTTACGTCCATCACGACTCTCTCTCTGAACTCTGGCATTATCAGTACTATAAAAGCCAATACAGGCTTCTAGACGCCATGTGTGTTAGTCTGTGCTAAGTGGCTCGAGGGTGGAACTGCACCACTGAGCTGATTGAGAGCATGCTCACCGACTGGAGGCCCCTTGGGAGCCATTCCAGCTGAGTCAGGCCCAGCCAAAGATACAACAGCATTTGAGAGACCCGTTGGGGTAGGTGAAGGAAATTCGCCCAAGCACTTTCTGTGTGCCAGGCACTACACTGGATGGATCATGTAAGTATCTTGTGAACCTTTGCAAAATTTCTTCTAGATCATGCTCACACAGCTGGCGGAAGGCAGTGCTAGCACTGGAAAGCAGGCATGCTTTTTCTACTATACCACACTGCCTCAGATTCACTTCCTTCTGCCTTAATTCCAGGTAGTTCTTGTTAGTTCCTTGTTTTCTTCCCCTAAGAAAGCAATTTCCTTCCACTACATGCAGCTTGGAACTAGATTTTTTTGTTTATTTCTGGTTTGGTGTTTTTTTGTTTTGTTTTTAAATTTCCAACACCTAGTGCTCCTTGTTTGTTATGTGTTTTTAAAATTCTGGAACTAGAGGGTTAGAGGCAGAGAATAACTAGGTTAGTCTTCGGTATTCTGACAAGATGACCTGGACACACACTGAACTGGACAACACACTTAAGCCTTCAGTGCAGAGAATGTTATGCACCAAATTCCAGGGATATTGACAGAGACAGAAAGCATTGCGTAATTTCCCTGGAGCCCCAGACACAAGCAACGTGCAACTCACCCTTGATGATGTGCCTGACAATTTTGATGGAGCTTCCACGCATATTTAGGATTTGGTGAACCCTCTGGCGAATCTAATAAGGAAGGGGAAGAGTGGAAAGAGAAAGAAAAAGCATCATTTGCCCTGGTAGACATCAGAATACGTCATTGAAAGTATTCACCTCACCCCCTGAAAGAGAGGGCCCACATAGAGTGAAGGAATTCAAGGAGAGTGTGATTCGCTCCATTCTACCTAAGCAGGTGGCAAGCAAGGAGTCAGGGAAGGAAGGGCCCATCCAGGGGCAGCTCCCTCCTACCTGGGGCACGTTGGCATTGCAGATCTCTGCCATGATGTAGCAGATGTGCTGGAGAACAAAAAGCCCTGCATCCAAGCGCCGGAGGTAGAACTCATCCTCAATGTCATTGTCTATGATTTCTCCACGCCGGACCATGTCCTAGAAATGAATGAACGTTTGGGAATAAAAGCCACACAGTGAGTGAAGGAGGAAAGAATAGGTTTCTAGTCCACCCATAATACACAGAAGAGTAGTAACTACAACTACAACAACAAAAGAAAACCACTCTGCCTCGATTTGCCTCCTGCTTCTCCCATTACTCTAAAGTATCTTATGTTCTCTTGTTGGCCCAGGGAGTCAAGATTAAAGTCCATTTTTCCTATACAGTTACTCAGGGCCAAAATGATCTCATCAACATATTCAACCTGAAAAAATAAGCTGATGGGGACACAAATCTATTCATCTGCTTCTACTCATTCTTTACTCTTTCGTTCCAGCCTCCATAAATAACCTCTCTACAGATATACTTAATTCTCCTTCCCTTCCAAATCAAGTTAACCTAGGGAAGAGAGCTGCTTTCTCTACGATTCTGTCTTGGTATCCTGGTGATGGCACAGGTACCCAATCTGTGTGTCCCTTTTGGCTTACATTTTGTTAGATGCAAAATGTTGCCCATCTTTCCATTTCATTCCACAAGTTCAATACTCCCTCAAGGCCAAAGTCCTAATGAGTGATGCGAGTCTCTTTCCTAAACTTTTGTAACCCCAGACCTATCAGACTTGCTGTCCCCATATCTATTCCTCTCTAGTAGATTCTTTAAAAAAAACAAAAACAGCTTTATTGAGATACAATTGACATACCATACAATTAGTATAGTCAGAGTTGTGTAACCACCATCACAATCATTGTAGAGTACTTTCATTCCCCTCCACCTCCAAAGTCCCTCATCCAGTGGATTACCACCACCTTTGCCAAGAGGGCTCTTCTTCCCAACTCAGGGACTTTAGGGCCTTCCTTCCTAGGGATTCTGGGGTATCTCTCAAGCCAACGCTATTTTTAAGCTACCTCTCTTACAGAGCCTTAAAGCTAAAAACTCCTCCTTTCCAAAATTCCTGACAGCACCCTTGCAGGTCACTCCATGACATGACCTCTTCTGGCACGTCATATTCACACTGATTTCAGTTATCATCAGCTCCCTGTTTCTATAGCTCCCTTTATTTCATGAGGGTGAACTGTGAGCTCTGTGAAAGTGGGGACTGAATTTTGTCTTTACATCCCCAGCTCAGTAAACATCCATGCAGTGAATGAAAGGAAAAAGACATCTCCGTTTTAGGCTGTCATCTCTCAGGGGTCAGAACTGGAGGAGGGACTCATTCTACACGACTAGCGACTGGTCTAAGAAGACAGGTGCTTGAATACATGCCTTTGATGACGACAATCCATTTCTTAATTCCGTCAGTGGTTTTATGGCCATGGTTCCCTCTGCCAACTCAGGCTCCTGTCACTGACAGAAGCCCTTGGGACCCTGCTTTCCACTCTCCCAAACTCGAAGGACTTACCACTGTGGTCATCAATCTCCAACCAGCATCCTTCAGAGACTATTTAGATGCAGATAACATGCTTCTTTATTTGCCCAGGGGGCCAGCCTGCAGCTACACAAGGCTACTTTTCATCTCACTCCCAAAGGCCTCTGTCTGAGAGGCAAAAGAGGGTTCTAGATTTGCCAGGCCTTGTACTGCGCAGTAAATCACCACCACTAATTCATAGCTTTGTTTAGTAGCAAATTCCTTGGTAATCTGGTAATAGTGCTAACGTTCATGAGGTAGTCATGGAGCACTGGACTGACGTCCAAGGAGTTTACAAGTAGAAGGGCCTATTTAGTTTCTCATTTGCTCATAATCATAACTTCCTGCTCCAGAACTCCTAAGTGTTCAGAAGCTGGGGGCCCAGGAAGGAAAATTACTCTTGACTTTCACTCATGCAAAAAGCATTTGCTGTTAATACTTCACATTTCTATAATGCTGCAGAGTTTAAAGTGTTATTATGTATATGGTCCTTATTACCAAATTTAAAGAGAGCAGGGAAGGGATTATTAATCCCACTGTACAAATTAGAATCCAAGGCACACAGAGGTTAAGTAAGTTGCTCATAATTACCAGTTACTAGAATATGGACTCCCCGGGGGCAGGAATCCTGTCTAACTCACCTCTGAGGTGGAAATGAATACCATGAAGCACAGTGTTCAAATCTGGACCCTGCTAAGTGCCTAGTGGCAAGAACACCTTCTTAAGCATTGAGTTAAGGCAGAAAAGGAATGAAAATGGAGGTAAGGGGATGCCCTGGTCTTAGTCACCAAGAAGCTGACTGTCTATCCGGGAAGGTCACAGTAACACAGAAAATGACCAAGAAGTAAAGGGATACAGTGCACCCACAAATTTAAAGTAATTACAAGTGGTGGGTGCTAATCAGGGCTGGTTAAGATGTTAGGGCATTGGGAAGAAGTGACTTAGGTAAGGTTTCAAGGATCCTGACTGGCAGACATAGCAGGATGAATGCCTTAAGAATGAAGGCCTTCCTGTGGTCCGAAGCCTTATGCAAAATGCCTTATGCAGTTCATACTTTCTGCTCACTAGCTCCCGACCCATACACACAGCACAAACAGGCCTGCCCTCCCTTTTCTGGCCCCTTCACTTTTGCTTGTAATGTTGGTACTCTTCCCAATCCCCAATCTCTATCATAATGTATTTAAAGTCTAAAACGTGATACTCCTTACAAAACTTCTCCTGAGATCTTTAAAAACGTCTCAGTGTTTTCTAACTTGCTGTGATTTTTCAATCCTCAAACCCCCCAAGTTTTGGATTTGTACCTCTTTTATGGCACCTCCCATGCCCTGTCCTGCAATAGTTATTCAGACGTGTGCCTCTTTCCTGTGTAGGTTCCTTGAAAGCAAGAGTTGTAAAGTTTTAAATCATCTTTGTACCCTAGAAAGCACCTTGCATGGTACTTTTTTGCATAACAGACTCTTGAAAAGCATTTGTGAAACAGGATTGGAAAAATGCAGGTAGAAGTTCAGCTGTATTAATGAGCTGTGTGTGCTAAGACTTCTGTGGATGGGGTAGGAGGGGAAACATTAGGAAATGGGGAGGGACAGTGCCTTGGAGGGCTAGCTGGTGGGAGGCTTGAATGCTGGCCAGAGAAGTCAGATATGATGAGCTGCAGACTACACTGTGCAGGAAAGTGAATGAGAATGTGCCAACACCTCTATGATGGACACATCGGCTTAAAGTGTTGAGAGGCAGGCAGAGTGTACAGCTCGGAGGCCACAGTATCAGCCTATGTGAGAAGTATATCAGATGGGGAAGAGAGGAGGGGAGGGAAGGGGAGCAGAGGAGAGGACAGAGACCAAACCCTTAGAGGTTTCCAAACATGGGAACTTGGAGAGAAACATATTCATTCATCTACCTGGTAAAGATTGCCTGAACACCGAACTATGGGCCAGGTATTACACGACGTACCAGGGGCGGCAAAGATAAATAAGACAGTCTACATAATCAAGGAGATTAAAGTCTAATGAGGTTAACAAATATGAACAAACTTCTTTTTAAAATGTAGTAATGGCTATTATGAAGGACCTCTCAAACTGTACTGAGTGCCATGGGACTCCAGAAGAAGGACAGACTAAGTTTGTTTTGAGGAGTCAGGAGAGTTCAAGGGAAATCTAACATTTGAGCTGGATTCTGAAGGAATTTGACAAGCTGGAAAGAACATTCTAAACAGAGGGAACAATAGCATGGGTCAACTCGGCTAGGGTGGAAGAGAACAAGAGCGGAATATCACTGCCATTCAGAGAGAGAAAGAAGAGAAAGAAGGGAGTGTTTCTTTGCTTATTAGATCCTAGCTACCGGCAGATCATAGTTTTTGATTGATTACTACATACCAGGCGTTGTGTGACGCAGTCTGAATAATAGCCATTGCTACCACCATCTACCCACCTTGGAGGAGCAGCTAATGTTTACTGGGGGCTTATTATAGTGCCAAGTGCTTTACCTATACTGATTCCTTTACTTCTCACAAATATTACGCGGTAGGGATTGCTACTCCCATTTCAGATGAGGAAACTGACTCAGGCAGAGCAACCTGCCTAAGGCTAGTGGGTAGGAGAACTGGGATTCAAATCCAAGAATGTGCTCTTTTCCTACTACCATGGTTGTGTAGGTATACGTTTTAGAGCTGTTTGGAGAACAAAGGAAGATACTAAATAACAGAAAGGCTTAAGAAATAGAGTTTAGCAAAATTAAATTTCTCCAATTACATCAGAAGTGCCCCTGGCGATTTTTTCTTTTTCATACTCTTCCCCACAATCTGATCTTCTTTTAACCAGACATAATGTACCTTCCCATTTCTCGAAATACTGTCATGTGGAAAGGATTGGACCCAAGAGAACATTGACAAATTCTATTTTTTCCTCTTTCCTCAGAACTTCAAGACTCTAACAACGTTCAATTCGACATTCTACTTTTAGACACAAGGCCACATGATTTGAAAGTGAAATTTTCCAATGTAGATCTGAGATATGATTACAGTTCATCTCCAAGAGAGGCATCACCATCACCGCACTGAACAGGCACAAAGATGAAACACAGACTGGCTTCTAAGACAAAGTTTGTGCCCTGACAGATTTAGAAGCATCACAGAAACCAGCACACAGAGAAGGTGACTG